AGAGCACAAAAAAAGACAAAATCCCCTCATTCAGAGATGAAATGTATTTAGCAACCTCACATGAAAGTAAAAGGACTCAGAATGTAAATGTTGAAGAAATTCCAGGAAGGGAAATCAGAAGATGATGAGTATCCTAACTTATGATTGCAGAAAAATAGCTGTGTGATAATTCATCATTTGTGAAATTTCTTCAAATGTATAATTTCCCTATTTAGTCTCTCAGTTACCTTGTTTGTGCCTTTAGATAATTAGGACAGAAAGTCAGATACACACATGTTGATATTTCAGATAAAGACTGTAGAAAAGCAACTGCTGGTACTTTCCTGGGTAAAGACCCCAGGTGATAGAATGGACAAACAACAAGGTCCTGCTGCATAGCACAGAGAACTATATTCAATATCCTGTGATAAACCATAATGGAACAGGATATAGAAAAGAATGCATATGTACAAATGAATCATTTCACTCTTCAGCAGAAATTAACACAGCATTTTAAATCAACTCTACTTGAATAAAAAATCAAAACTGAAAAGGAGAAAGATCCCAGGTGAAAGAATAAGTAGATATCAGGGCAAGAGCAAGTAGGCTAAATTGTTGGGACTAGGGATGGTTCAACATTGGGAATGAACATGTTGCCCATTTAATTTAATTCATTTTTGGCTATTCTGGGTCTTTGTTGCGGTGCAGGCTTTTCCCTCTAATTGCAACAAGCAGGGGCTACTCTCTAGTCGTGATGCATAGGTTTTTCATTTCGGTGGCTTCTTCTGTTGAAGAACACAGGCTCTAGGTGCTCAGTAGTTGTGATTTCCATGTTCTAGAATACAGGGTCTATAGCTGTGATGTGCAGGGTTAGCTGCTCCACTGCTTGTGGGATCTTCCTGGATCATGGATTGAACTGTGTCTCCTGCACTGGCAGGCAGATTCTTTACCACTGAGCCAACAGGGAAGCTTGGACTTGGTTATTTAATGAGCAGAAACTTTATATTCCTTTTTCTCTTTCTATCTTTATTCTATTAATATTAGCATCTTATTTCTTTTGTCTTCTCTCCATTTAGTAATTTCCTTGAGGGAGAGAGCTGTTGAAGGTTTGGGAGTCATAGACACCCAGAGGTTTTGATGAGCTGCAACAATGGAGAAATATTGGTTTGTACACTCATCTACTTATTAATTTACTCGCCATAGTCATGTGGAGGGTCCCTGTGTACTAAAACCTCTGTGATAGATCTGCAATCATGACCCAGGAATCGAACTCTTGTCTCTTACATATACTGCATTGACAGGCAGGTTCTTTATCACCAGTGCCACCTGGGAAGCCTGCAATACATCACTAGGAGATAAAATTACTTTCCTCTTTTCCAAGGCAGTTGATCCATTAACTTGCATAACACACTCCAGGCAATACCAAAAACCTCAGGCATTCTCATATACTCTCTACTACTCTGCTGAATAAAGCAAGCTGGAATGCAAGAGAACAAACCACATTTACTAAAATTCAAGGGAATCTTTTTACAAACTATCATACTTCAAATATAAGCCCTGAAAAGTAGACTGCCTTTCAGCTGATCAGAAGTCACTAGAGACTGTTGCAAACTGTCCACCTCACCCAAAGCATCAGATTGAATGAAAATAGTCATCTATAATTAAACAATTTCCATATGATATGGTCATTTTTATCTTTCCAAAGACACTGTCTGCCTTGAATTTTTTAAAATTATTGACTGGCAATGGACATACTAACACTATATTATTTTCAGATGTACACCATAATGATTCAATATTTGAAGACATTCAATACTCAATATTTCAAGATGATCACAATAAGCCAGTTAATACCAGATCACAAGATCACAAACACAAGAAAAAATTACAAGAATTTTTTCTTGTGATGAGATATTTTCAGGTCTACTCTCTTAGCAACTTTCAAATATGCAAATAGTCACTGTGTTGTACATTACAACTGCATGATTTATTTATTTCATAACTGGAAGTTTTCACTTTTTGACCCCCTTCACCCATTTTACCCATCATTCATCCTCCTACTTGGGTATTAATACCTAAGGAGACTGACAGTGATGACAGCCAATGGTTGTCTTTCTCCTTTGCAATTAGGGGCATTACAGAATAGCAAGTGTGCAAAAACACTTGTATCAAGGCAAACAGAACACTGACAATCATTGTATTGTTGTTCAGTCACTAAGTCGTGCCCAACTCTTTGCCACCCCATGGACTGCAGCATGCCAGACTTCCTTGTCCTTCAATATCAATGCCCTTCAGTATCAATCAGTCTTATGCTATTTCTTATTGCTGGTTATAGGACCCGTTACTCTGGGTACAGGACCCCCAGGGCCAGGGGTGGTGAGAGTCAGAGTGCAGGTGGACTCTAGATGAGTGTCTTCATCTTCTTAGCTCTTTCTAAGCATCACTTTAATGTGAGTGCAGCATATGATTCACCCTTTCTGGTTCATATGTAAATAGCCTGAGAAAATTTGAGAGACTATCTCAAATATCTTTCTTTCCTCCCAAATATTTAATGTGCAATTTCTTTCTTCCCAAATATTTAATGAGCACCATAGAGAACAAAATTTTGTTTGTGATGATTTTAGTATCTCATGGTAATGAAATGGTTTAGTACTTGAAGACTTGGCCACGCTTTCCTTGGACATTTTAACAAGTCCCTTAACATCACAGGTGAAGTGTGTTTCATCATGTGACAAATATCCAGGAAACATATAGCCCTGTTTCTACAAGATATTGATTGTCCTTGGTATTTGTTGTTGTTGTTCAATTGCTAAGTCATTTCTGACTTTTTGTGACCCCGTGGGCTGTAGCATGCCAGGCTTCCCTGTCCTTCACTATCTCCCAGAGTTTTTTCAAACTCATGTCCATTGAGAAAATGATGCTATCTAACCATCTCATCCTCTGCCACCCTCTTCTCCTCCTGTCTTCAATGTTCTTGGTATACCAGGTTAAAAATTTGTAAATGCAGGCAGATTCTTTAGCAACTGAGCTATCAGGGAAGCCCCTAAACATTTGTAAATGTGTTTTATTATTTAGTGAAAATGTTTTCTTTATTTTTCCATAAGAAATAGACTGTAATTCTACTCATCCTGCAGGACTGGGTCCAAATATTTGAGATATTCTCTCATATTTCCTCACCTGTGAGGCATGGTTACCTGACCCCTTTCTGGCTCCCAGAAAAGGCAAGTAGCATAGATCAAGTTACTGTATCCCACTGGGCCTCATGTTCCACTTTTGGGTTAGAGTGAGCATGAACCATTTATATCTAAGGTCCAAAGTTGCCCTTAGCTTTTAATGAAAAAAAATTTTTTTTAAATGCACTTCTTTATTTTTCTCTACACTGGGTCTTTGGTGCTGCATGGGGCTTTCTCTAGTTGCAGTGAGTGGGCTTTTTTTTTTTTTTAATATAGACTTATTTATTTTTATCAGAAAAAAATCTCCAAACAAGCTCAAAACAAATCATCTCAGTGCAAATGACATCTCACAGAAAACATTTAATGCAATTTCTTATGCAAATTCTGATTCCTTTGTCCCCATTAGGATTTCATTTATCCTACGCTTGAGTATTGTCTGTGATGGGCAGCTCACTACCACTCAAAACAGCTCATCTTTTAGACAGCTTTACTTTTAGATAGGTTTTCCTTGTACTTGATTCCTTGTGGATGCGTTACAGCTTAATTCTGAAATAACAATGGTATTTGTGATCCAAGTTAATGATTTTATCTGCATTCTTTTATCTTCTTAGATAAATGTTGGGTTGTCCCAGCCTTGGTGAAGCTAGGGTGTCCTATGGGCTGTGGGAGTCTGTGTGCTAAGGATCCACACTCTAGGGTCTAACTGGGAGCTAAACACATGACTACAGATGTGGGTTGTCACTTATTAGCTGAGTAAATGCTGGCAAGCCCCAGTGTTTTCCAATTTCTTGATTTTTAAAAATGGGAAAATTAGTACCTTCATGGGGCTGTCATAAGAAAGAATAAGGCAGTGAACATGAAAGCAATTTTAAATCAAGCTGTTCAGCGGAAGAATAATTTCAGCTTAATATCTTTCATGTCACTGTCACCACCCAAATCCATGAATCAACAAATGGACGTAGGAAGGCAGAGGGAGACACAGAATTGAAATACTCACAGTAAACTTAGGGAGACATGATTTCCTAGTTTTCAATGGCTAAAGAAGTTTAAACATACTTATTAGACATACTGGACCACTTCCTGGTTCAAAAGCAAAAGAGCCTGACTCATAAACTTGGGCAAGCCACTTCCTTCTTCAGGAATCCATTTCCTCATTCTATGAAATGAAGGGGTTAAATTAGTGAGTGGGCTTCTCATTGCAGTAATTTTTCTTGTGGAGCACGAGCTCTAGGGCACGAGGGCTTCAGCAGTTGTGGCACATGGGCTTAGTTGTGCTGCAGCATGTGGGGTCTTCCTGGACCAGGGATCAAACCCATGTTCCCTGCATTGGCAGGTGGATTCTTATCCACTGGACCACCAGGAAAGTCCTGCTCTAACTTTTTAGATTTGATGATCCTAAGCCAGAGATAGGGGCCTCCATGGTGACTCAGTGGTGAAGAATCTGCCTGTGATGCCGCAGATGTGATTTTGATCCCTGCATCAGGAAGATCCCCTGGAGAAGGAAATGGCCACCCACTTCAGTATTCTTGCCTGGGAAATCCAATGGACAGAGGAGCCTGGTAGGCTGTAGTCTGTGGAGTTGCAAAGAGTCGTATACGCCTTAGAAACTGATCATCAACAACAAGCCAGAGTTCAGGATGATGGATGAGTATCCCAAAGGTCAGTGGACATGGTTGAACTGCTGCATAGAACAAATAACAATATAGATTCTGAAGCTTTGCCATGTTAATGCTTTTATACCCAATCCTTCACTTTAAGAAATTAAAGAAGTACAGCAGCTCCAGAGTCTGTCCAGTGGCTATTTCATTTTTCCCTCTTCTTCAATCATCTAGCTGATGCATCAGCAACATGGAACCAGGAAATCAAACACGTGCTTTAGAAGTTTTACTCCTGGGATTTTCCCAGGACTCAGAAAAGCAGCGCATCTTATTTGGGTTGTTTCTATCTGTGTTTGTTGTCTCTGTGCTCAGGAACCAGCTCATCATCCTGACCATCAGCTCAGACCCCCGTGTCCACATCCCCATGTACTTCTTCCTCTCCAACTTGTCCTTGGCTGACATTGGTTTCATCTCCACCACAGTCCCCAAAATGATTGTGAACATCCAGACACAGAGCAAATCCATCAGCTATGCAGGCTGCATCACCCAGATGTATTTTTTCATGGTTTTTGGAGGTATGGACACTTTTCTCATGACTGTGATGGCTTATGACCGCTTTATGGCCATCTGTCACCCCCTGCACTACACGGTCATCATGAACCCTTGCCTCTGTGGTCTGCTGGTTCTTGTGTCTTGGTTCACCAGCTTGTCATACTCCCTGATCCAGAGTCTGTTGATGTTGTGGCTGGCTGTCCTTCTGTACCAACTGGGTCAATGTTGCGGCTGTCCTTCTGTACCAACTGGGTCATTCCACACTTTTATTGTGAACTTGCTCAGGTCCTCATGCTTGCTTGCTCAGACACACTCATCAATTACATCTTGCTGTATATGGTGACTGGACTTCTTGGCATTGTTCCCTTCTCAGGGATCCTTTTCTCCTACACCCACATTGTCTCCTCCATTCTGAGAATCCCATCAGCTCATGGGAAATATAAAGCATTTTCTACCTGTGCATCTCACCTGTCTGTGGTTTCTTTGTTCTATGGGACGGGCCTTGGCGTGTATCTCAGTTCTGATTCATCTTCCTGGAGAGGCATGATTGCCTCAGTGATGTACACTGTGGTCACCCCTATGCTGAACCCCTTCATCTACAGCCTGAGGAACAGGGACATCAAGAGGGCTCTACAAAAAGTCATTGGAAGGACACTCTGTGTTCAGTGGTGGGAGTACAGATCCAAGGGTTTTGAGCCGACAGTGATAGCAGCAGTTGGCTAAAGAAGTCCTGCCTCTTTCTTGTGTGTGTGATTTGAATAACATGTATTCTATTTAAACTGAGCATATATATTTTAATGTAAATATTTTGCATTCAGTTCACTTAAAAATATTAGAATTGTTTTTGAAACACATTTCATAAACTTAGAATTCCAGCTATTATTTAATAATTTTACATATGTAGAGAAAGTGTTTTTAAATGACCACTCATTGAATTTTAGAATGTAGACCTAAGCTTAATTATTCAACAGCTTGCATTTACTCAGTATATTTTATTGTCATTCAAGTGTTTGAAATCCTGACTCTTTAAAACTTTTTAAAATTGAAATATAGTTGATTTACAATGCTGTGTTAATTTCAGGTGCACAGCAAAGTGAATCAGTTATACATATACCCATATCTATTCTTTTTCAGGTTCTTTCCTGTATAGGTTACCACAGAATATTTAGATTTTTTTAATGGAGTGTGGTTGATTCACAATGTTCTGCTAGTTTCTGCTATACAGCTAAGTGAACCAGTTGTGTGTATGTTCACACTTTCTCAGATTCTTCTCCCACACAGGTGATTACAGGATCTTGAGTAGGGTTCCTAGTGCTATTCAGTAGGTCCTTACTAGTTGTCTATTTTATACATAGCAGTATATATATATTAATCACAATCTCCCTATTTATCATCCCCACACATTTCCCTTTGGTAACTGTAAGGTTGACTTTGGGATCTATGACTCTTTCTGTTTTATGAGTTTGTTTGTATCATTTTTATTGGGTTCCACATGTAAGTGATGTTAATGATATTTGTCTGACTTACTTCACTTAGTTTGATAATCTTTAGGTCCATCCATGTTGCTGCAAATGGCATTATTTTGTTCTTTTTCACAACTGAGTAGTATTCCATTGTATATATGTACACATCTTCATTCATTCCTCTGTTGATGGACATTTAGCTTGCTTCCTTGTCCTGATTTTGGTGAATAGTGTTGCAATAAACATTGAAGTGCATGTATCTTTTTGAATTATGGTTTTCTCTGGTTATATGCCAAGGGGGTGGGATTGTGGGATCATATTCCATATGTACTTCTATATTTAGTTTTTTTTAAGGAATCTCCATAGTGGCTGTACCTATTTACATTCCCACCAACAGTATAGGAGGGTACCCTTTTCTCCACACTCTCTCCGACAAGAAATTTTGCCTTTTAATCACATCGAGTTTTGTTTCTCATCCATCCTCTGCAAGGGATTTTGCTCAGAATTGCCTAGTGAGTACTTTGTCTTCACCTCTTACAATGATGACTCTATTAACCTCAGTCCTACTCTGCATCCCTCCTTTTACTTATCCATCACTGTAAATTGGATTGGATTTCCAGTCCTCCAGGTTGATACCAGCCACTTCAAGTACAGACTCAGAATAGTTGAATGAGATTATGAAATAGTGCTTGTTATCAATACCATTGCTAGTTCTTATCAAATTCATTTATTCAACAGTACTCCCTGAGCGGTGCACAGTGTGCCAGGCTGATGCAAATATCTGGAACACAGAAGTGAAGGGAGGGAAAAAAAGACAAAAATCTTTGCCCTCATAGAGCTTAAATCCTGGATTTCAGCATTAATCAGATCACGCTCTATGTCCAAACAGAAAATACACTGACAAACAAATTATTTGATTTTCAGCATGGTTGAACTTTTATGCATATAGTTAGTATGTTTCCAAAATAAGGTATGAGCATATATCACTAGAGACAAAAAAACTGCAAGGCCAAGAATATTAGAACAGGTCAGTTGCTAATAAATTGTTGGATCTAGTTGCCTCATTCTACAGGTGAGTTTGGTGAGGTTGAAACACAGATCCAGATGGTGACAAAATCTGGCTGAAAGAGGACATATGTCCAGGTATTGTGCCAGGACAGAGCGCTGGATTAGAATTCAAGAGAGTAGGAACTGAATCACAGAATTGCCACCCTGGACATATGTGATACTGAACAGCTTCATGGGGTACAGAATATGTTCCAACTACTAGATGTCTTGATGAATGTTTATTTTCCCATATTCTTCACCATAAAGAAATTGAATGGCACTTTCCCTGGTGGTCCAGTGACTGAGAGTCTACCTGCTAGTGGAGGGGACATGGGTTTGATCCCTGGTCCTGTATGATTCCACATGCCATGGGGGCAACTAAACTTGTGCACCACAACTACTGTGACTATAGTCTAGAATCCATGGGCCACAGCTATTGAAGCCCATCCACACTAGAGCCGGTACTCCACAACAAGAGAAGTCACCACAAGGAGAAGCCCACATTTATCACTACTCTTGCAATTAGAGATTAGCCTCCACTTGCCACAGCTAGAGAAAGCCCACAGGCAATAAGATCCAGCACAACCAAAAAGAAATATAAATAAATAAATATTGAAAAAAACAAAATCGGATGATGCATTAAGTCTTTGAATGTTCGTGTTTGCCAAGGCACTGCAGGCCAGAGAGGCAAACATAAATGCATAAATATTCATCTCTGTAAAGAAGAATCCTTGCTCACACCAGGACTGGAGTAAAACTGAATCAACTGGTCCCCAAGTTACATCCTTGAAGAGTGTTACCATTTTGAAGAACAAGAATGGGCTTCCAAAAGGGGATCTAATCTCCTATTTAATTCATTTAATCTCTGGGCTTTGTGACTGAGAGATTGGGTCTGGCAACTGGGAAAAGAATCATTATTTTCAATTGTGGGAACTGACTATTTTTTTTTAAATTTATTTTTAGGTAGAGGATAATTGCTTTACAGTATTGTGTTGGTTTCTGCTATACATCAACATGAATCATCCATAAGTATACATATGTTCCCTCCCTCTTGAGTCTCACTCCCACCTCCTACCCCATCTCATCCCTCTAGGCTGTCACAGAACACCCAGTTGAGCTCCCAGTGTATACAGCAACTTCCCACTGGCTATCTATTCTACATATGGTAATGTATGTGTTTCAACACTGCTCTCAATTCATCCCACCCTCTCTTTTCCTTGCTGTGTCCATATATCTGTTCTCTATGTCTGAGTCTGTATTCCTGTCCTGCAAATAGGTTCATCAGTACCATCTGGCTAGATGCCATATATATGTGTTAATATATAACATTCGTTTTTCTCTTTATGACTTACTTCACCCTTCAAGTCCCCTCTTTTGGAAGCCCATTCTTGTTCTTTAAAGTCAAAGTCTTCACTCTTCAAAGCCAAAAGCTTTGTCATAGTCTCCATAGAACCTCTCATTTCCCCACTAATACTTGTTATGGAATGAATACTTGTGTCCCCTCAACATTCATATGCTGAAACCTACCTCCCATGTGATGGTATTAGGAGGTGGTTCTTTGGGGAGGTAATGAGGATTTGATGCTGTCAGGGGGGTGGGCCCTCATGATGGGGTTCTTAGTCTTGTGAGAGTCATGAGAGAGCTGCTTTTTCTCTCTGCTCTTTGCCCTGTGAGGACACGATGAAAAGTGAACAGTCAGCACCCCGAAAGAGAGTCTTTACCAGAAATCAGTGATCCTGGAACCCAGACCTCAGACTTCCAGCCTCTAGAACTCTAAGAAATACTTTTTTTTAAAATTGTTCACAAGCCCCTCCCCCATTTATAGTATTTTGTTACACCAGTCCAATCTGATTTAGTAGTCTTTTCTTCAAGTAAAAGTAAAAATTTGCATAACCCATTTGTTTTGTGATACAACGTCCCAAATAAAAAAGAGTCTCTCTATACACTCATTTGCTATTTGTCCAATTACCAAAATTGTAATAAGTAAGGCTCTCATATCTTTTCCTCATAAATTGTTTCCAATCCAGGTTTTCAGGCTACTTGCACAGACATGGCACTAGTTGAAAATTTTCCATTCTTTCATCTTTGTACCTCAAGGGAGCTGAATAGTTTGGAGAGTAGAAAGCCAATAGAACAGTTCATTTAATGAGGAGCTGTGAGAATCCCACCCCTGAGACCCTGCAAACCATAAGCGTGTTCTTTTTACCCCTTAGATATAATTCTCTGAGCCCAGCCAAGTGAAAACACAACTGGACTTACCAAGGACAGAAAATGGAGAACAGAAACCTTGGGTGATAAATAACAGAGTATGTCCCTCCGGATGTTGCCTATGGAGTAAGATAAAAAAAAAAAAAAAGCGGGGAGAAAGTGGGTATCAGCCTTTACCTTTAGCAGAGTGAGACTGGGAACTGTTGATTTATTCTAAGGCAGTGAAGTCCCTGTACTTTGAAGGTGCTTTAGTTTCTACTGACACCAGTGTTTCCCACGTCTTGCTGTTTCCTCCTCTGTCTTCTTAGACTCTACTAAATTCTCTCTCCAATAAGACTTATTTTCCAAGGACTCTCTGCTTCTTCTCTGCTCTTTCCTTTGAACTGTAGGCTCCTACTTGACTTCCTGTGACCAAGTACTCATTCATTAACTGCTGACTAGAGATACGCACCAGGTGATGTCTAATATATTCCTCGTGTGATGGAATTTATCTATTACATTGCTCAAATGTTTTTGCAGCAGACTCAACTTATTGATAAAACCTAAGAGATCCATATTGATTGCATTCTTTTTGTTGCTTCACTTTAGTGTCCTCAGTATCATCGACAAATAATATAATTATCTCTCATGTTCTGTACTCAGGCTCATTTTATTTTCTCATCTTACCAATGTCTTTAATCAGCAGTCCCTAACCTTTGGCATCAGGGACTGGTTTCATGGAAGAAAATTTTTGCATAGATAGAGGTTGGGGGAAAGGTTTTGGGATGATTCAAGCACATTACATTCATTGTGTGCTTTATTTCTATTATTATTACTTTGCAATATATAAAGAAATAATTATACAGTTATCACTTGCCACTCACTGATAGAGTTTTGATATGAGTCTATAAACATTTGATCTCTATGCAGTCAAGGAGTTTCCCAGAGGTGCTAGTGGTAAAGAATCTATCTGCCAATGCAAGAGACATAAGAGATGTGAGTTTGATCCCTGGGTTGAGAAGATTC